GTCAGGGTACACGTCTAGGTTGTGGGTTTGGTCCCCGTTCTGGGTGAGTATGAAAGCAACCAATTGATGTTTCTCTCTTTTACTCCCTCCCTTCCTCTCTTTCTTTAAAATCAATTAGCATGTCTTTGGATGAGGATAAAAAGTTTTTTAAAAAAAAGGTTTTTGTAAGAGGAAAGCAAGAGGGTCAAAGTCACAAATGGAGGTGTGAGGATGGAAGCAGAGGTTGGCATGATAGAATTTGTTGAGAGAAGGAGCCGCAGGCCGAGGAACATAGGTGGTCTCTGGAAGCTAGAAAGGCAAGGCAAGGTCCCAAGGTTCCTTCCTTGGGACCACCAGAAGGAACATGGCCCTACTGACATACTGATTTTAGGACTTCTGACCTCTGAACTGTAAGGTAGTACACTTGTGTCATTTTAAACCACTAAGCTTGTGGTAATTTGGTGCAGCAGCAGTAAGAAATTAATACACCAGTATGTCCAGAGCCTAGTGAGTAGTTTGGGTTTATTTAGAGGATAGTGGGAAACTATTGGAGTATCTTAGTGAGAGAGTGGACTGACCAGATTTATTTTAAGCAGCCAGCATGGCTGCTACCTGGAGAAGGGACTGAAGTGGGAATACAAGAGCAGTCAGGGAGGCTGGGTGGGAAGCTGTGCGTTCATAAAGGGGCGGAGTGACTGGTTCAGTGTACGGCTGTCGTGTGGAGACATAGAGAAATATTATGTCAGAGGCCAACCTGACAAGGTTTACTGATGGAGTAGATGTGGCTGTGGAAGAAGGGAACTGGAAAGGGAAGGAGAGAATAAAGGGTGGCATTTGGAGTTTTGCAGCATCAGGACAAAAGAGCTGGAGGCAGTAGAGTGGCTGAGAGCCTGGGCTCCAGCTCCAGAGCCGACTGCTGGGTTTCAAATCCCAGGGCTACTCGTTAGTAGTAGTCACGTCACCTTGGGCACGTTGCTTATCTCTCTGGTCTCAGTTTTCTCAAGTTTAAAAAGGGAATATGGGCTGCTTTGAAGGTTGCTTAGATATATAAGGTGTTACCTTTTAGTATCATTACTGTATTGGTGCCTTTTACTGAAGTGAGAAAATCTGTAAGAGAAATGGATATCGGAGTGAAGGAAATAAAAAATGCTTTTGATCTGTTAAATTTGAGATGCCTTTGGTCAGCAAAGTAGAAATATCAAAGAGGTAGTTTGAGAATGGCTATTTCATATAAAGGAGTGGAATGGTATTGACCCTTGCCTTTCAAATTAGGGGAAAATATCCAATTATTTCATCTGATTTCTTTTGCTTTGATTGGCAGGAACACCAGGGGCCTTTCTGAAGGCTTAGCAGTTGAAGAGAAAGGATTAGCACTGTTTGCTGGGAGTAAAAGGAGGAATGCAGTGTTTAAAGAGACATAGGCATTCTTTCTATTCCTTCCAATTTCTTCCATCCTAATGAAGGTGAAGATCACAATTGAGTGGCGAAGGGGAGGCCGTAGAAAGAGTGGCTTAACTGGAGTGGGGGTGGGAGCTGGCTGTGGTTAGGGGAGTTCCTGGGATGATAGACTCTTTAGGGAGCAGGCTTTAAAAAAAATGCAGCCGAGATGAATTGTCCACATAGTCACTAAAGGAACCTTTAAAGGGAGTTCCACTGTCCCTGCCTCTAGATTTGGAAGAGTGTGTGCAAGAGCCTGAACACAAACCGAAAGTAGTGGTGGAGCTGCTGAATCCCAGAGCACTTTTCCAAGTAACATTTCTGTTTGATTTCAAAGCAAATGTATAAGACTGGGAAAATACAGGAATATATTTAAAAAGACATTGTAGTTATTACATTATGATATATCCTTGTAGTTCATTTTTCTAAATAATGTAATTTTCAAACATTTTTACTTAGTGATCTATGGTCATAATGTCTTTACTTAGTGATCTCTTCCCGGTCATTATGTGATACATTTATTGATTATTATTTAGTGGCTGTATGGCCTTCCAATCTATGGATAAACCATAACTTATTTACTAATCCTTTGTTTCTTTAGAATTTCCAAATTTTTTATTTTTAGAAGTAAAATATAGCTAGTTGGGGAGTGGTTAGGGAGTAGAGGGATTGAGCAAAGAGGAAAAAGGATTCGTGGACATGGACAACAGTGTGGTGATTGCTGGGGGGTAGAGGGGTATGAGGGGACTAAATGTTAATGGGAAAATACAATAAACATAAAAAGTAAAAAGAAATAAAATGAATCCTTTAAAATCAAGGGTGCATTTGCTTTGGAAAAATATGTCATTATTGTCTACTGCCATGAAAACAATGAAATAAAAGGGAAGCTAAGTCCTAAAAAAGAATTCATAGAGACAAATCTTTCTCCTCACACGCAATTACACCCTGAGGATTTTTCCTAGAACCAAACTTGCATATTTTTAAGGTTTTTAATGCATAATGACTCATTGTCCTCCAATAAGATTATACTGATTTTTGAACTCAGCGGCAATTGGAAATACCCATCTCTCCTAGCCAATACTGGGTATTACATCTAAAAGAGAAAAAAGTTACTAGTTGAATTGCTAAAAATTGTATCCCTGCATATGTGGCTCGTTGTGTTCTTCCCTTTGTGATGGGCCTGAGCAGAGCCTTTGCCCACTTTACTGACGGCATGCCAGTCTTCCCGATTCCTTCTTTCCTGATACGTTGTTTGGAAACACTTGCCAAATACTCTGCTTCTCATCAAAATTTATACCTAGCTATAAAAACAGTTAATGATTTTCGCCTTTTCCAGTCTCTACTGTAGAGGTTGCTAAGTGATGATTTCCCAACTCTAGCCCTCCCTCCCCACTTATTAGTCAGCCCTCAGCAATTTAGTGTAAGCAAGAGCCTCCCTTCTTCCCATTTTTTAAAAAAATGTATTATTGGTATGGACTCGTGAATTCCTATTTTTTCAAGGGTTTATAATTTATTACTGTACTTAATTATTTTGGTACACAGGTTGTCCCAGATTTGACTAGTGAGTCCCTTCAATCTGGCTCACGTGACATCGGAACACGATCCCATCATCTTTTATAAGTACTCCTTCCTTTCCGACGTTTCAGATACCCCTACTCTGCCCTACCCTTGGGGTGAGCCGTTTGTCCAAGCAGTCCTGCTTCCCTTGAATGGGGAACTATATCAGAGACCAAGATCAGTGCTCTAAGCGTGCTCCTCTGCTACTTGATTCTGGTGATGGTTTTGTTAGGCTGGGTTTCGTTCCAACCTATCAAATTGTATGCAGTTCATTGTATGTCAACATAACACCTTACTAAAGCCATGTTACAAAAAGGAGAAAAAGGAAATAACATTTTATAGAAAGAGGCATTTTTTTCTTCAAAATATGGAAGACTGAAATATAGTGTTCGGAGATAAAACTTGAGTCATAAAACTCCAAAGAAAATCAAAGTGACTCCCATAAAACACAAGAGAATTTTTTTTAGGGTGAAGGGACTTTGCTGTGCTGGGAGCATGAACATGAAGCTCCGAGGGTAGCCGGCAAAATTTGTTTTTTGACCTGGATGGTAGTTACAAGCGTGTTTTTCTGATAGTAATTTACTATATTATGTATTTTAATGTAATTTTCTGTATCTTACAATTTTATCATATTTTATTGGAATTTTAATCTTTCTTTGTACATTCACCTTTTGAGTATTGTTTCAAAACCCACTTATATAAAATCAAGACAAATGTTTATTTCAGATTTAGAATTCCCATTCTTTTCAATAGTTTCTATTTCTCTGCTAAGATTTTTAAATCTTTTCATTAATTAGATTTTATGAGCAGAATTATAATTGCTCCTTTAACAATCCTTGGCTGCTAATTTCAATATTTGGTTCATCTCAGAGTCAGTCTCTATTAGCTTTTTCTTTCCTCGAGAATGGGTTATGCTTTTCTGTTTCTTCCTATGTTGAATAATTCTTATTCTGGACATTGTGAATTTTATGTTATGGAGATTCTGGATTCTGTTACATTTCTTTTTTTTTTAAGATTTTATTTATTTTTAGAAAGGGAAGGGAGGGAGATAGACAGAGAGAGAAACATTAATGTGCGGTTGCTGGGGGTTATGGCCTGCAACCCAGGCATGTACCCTGGCTGGGAATCAAACCTGGGACACTTTGGTTCCCAGCCCGCACTTAATCCATTGAGCTACGCCAGCCAGGGCTACATTTCTTCAAATAATGATGGCAGTAGTATTGCTTTAAGCAGATAATCAATTTGGCCTCAAACTGCAATACATCTCCAGGGCAGCAGCTCCAATATCATGGGGCTGCTTGGGGTCTGCCCTGTGCTCATGTAGTTCTGAGCTCAGCCAGACACGTGGGCAGAGTTTATGTGCAGTATGTGGGACTCTTGTCTCTTGGGCTCTCACCTCTTCAGGGTTCACCCTTTACTTTACAGCAGCTGTGGTTTCCCCACACACTGTCCTCTAGTTCTTCAGGCCGTAATGACTGTGAGTTTGAAACCAGTTTTCTACCAGAATTTTAGCATTCTCTACATGATGCAGACTGGGGCCTGCCATAAGTGTAAAACCATTAAGCAAACAAACAAAAGCCTGGTATCATGCTGTTACCTCACTCCAAGTGTTGACTTCCTTCCAGAACCCGCCTGCTTTTGGTCACTTTCCAATACGTTTACATAGGAGGTTTTCTATTTTTCCAAAATGTTATCCAGAGTTTAGACTTTACATTTGATTGAAGACCAGTCTGATAAGAGCTTACGTGGCCATTATAAAAGTAGATGAATATGGTAAGAATTTTTTTCTAAATAAAGTAATGATAAAGAAAAACACCTATAGTCAGACTAACAGATTAGATTTCTTTTGGCGAAGAAAAATCCTTTAACTATATATTTGTAGTTTCAAGGAAATCTGCATATAAAACCACAAATAGAATATGAGGATAAGAAAAGTAATAAAGAAAAAATATGCTTTAAGAAAGGAAAACAGTTATACTTTAACTATTTTGAAATACAGTATTTGAACCACTTCTGTATTATTTTAGGAATAAGTCTAATGAAGCTGATGACTGCCAGAGAAAACTTAGGAAACTGAAGTTTGAATCCATTATTTCTGAATCAAGGTACACATTGCAAACTTTTTAATGAATAGTTTTTAGTAATTGAATTTGAAACCATATTTTAAATAACATTTTATTTAAAATGTGTTTAGTTTTTCTTATTGTATTATTTACATATTACCTAATTCAAGTTTATAATATGTTAAAGCTATTTATTGATTTTTGCTTCTGCCTAGATGGGAAAATTTTAATATCACAGAACTATTCATTTTCTAGCCTTTTTAATTTTTCTAAGTTAAAGTTATAGTCTGTTATCTCAACTGGGATTTCCATATACCTTTGATAAACATGAAAAATAGTATCTAATGCATATTAATGGCATTTTTTCTATTCCTTTTTAGGCATACCAGATTGCTTAAAGAGAAAGAAGACTCTTTAGTGGCTTGTCAACAGATACATAAAACTTTACAGGAAGAACTAACTGCAAAAGAAAGGCAAGAAGAAGACATAAAAAGAAGACTTACCCTTGCAGAAAATGAACTGGAGATAACCAAAACTCTTCTGAGTCAGATGAAGGAAGAGGTTGTAACACTGAAACGTGACAGGTGCAGTCCAGAATAATTTCTCCCAAAAATGTTTTATACTTATGTCAGCATTCCATATATATTTGAAATGTCACGGTCCTACATATTTTAATAACAATGAAGTCTCAGGATCAAACATGTATTTCGCCTGAAAGATCGTTACATCCTACCACCTCATTTTATAGGCATCAAGCTAAGCTTCAATTGGTTAAATTTCTTGCTTAAAGTCATACAGTTAGTTAATGAATGTGGAGATGGAACCCACATTACATCTGGTGTTGGATTTTTATTGAAAAGACTCAAAAAGGCCATGTGTAGTACTTCGTTGAGTTTTGCCAGGGCCAGTAATTGGTGGTCTGTTGTTTTCCAATAGAGAAAAATCTTTTTATATCACTTTTCCCTTTTACTGGTTTCTCTTTTCTTTGTTGTTTGTAAGCACCTCTTACTGAGGATTTGCCATGAGCACAAATACCCCTGGTATTGAGGTAGTATCAAGGATGCTAAGAAGAACATTTACCCAACCTTCCTAGATATGTTTGCTGTTAATTTGTCATTAAATTAACCATCTCTGAACTTTGCATCTCAACCCTACTTTCTAACTCTCTGTTTTCATTTGCCTGGCCTGTCTTTGCTCATTCTTTCCAAGTCTTTTTGCTTTAAATGCTTATTTGATATATAGCACAAATTTTGGGTTTGTTTTATTGGTTTTTATCAAATCTGGGCATCTTTAATAGGAGATGTTATCCCACTTACAATTCTAGAAGAACACAATTTCCTTAAGGGCAAGAATTTTTGTCTTACATTATTCTCTGTGCACAGAAAGTACTATTAGGCTATTGGTTTTTCAGTCTTCCTATCATTTTTATCTTTCAGCTTATTTTTATCATATTCATTTCATCTTATAAATACTTGGTTGCTTTCTGATTTAGAAGAATTATAATCTTTTTTTTTTACTTCTTTATAAGGGCAACTGTTCGCTGAGGAAGAGTCTGGTAGTGGGGCCCCAGGAATGAGTACTACATAGCTTAGAATAAGGTTTGTTGTCTCAGAATTTTCTCCTAACACTTTGCCCCCTGCATCATATCTATCTGCAGTCCAGGAGTCCAGGCTAGCAGGGCGTCTGTCTAGTTCACAGGGGAACAAGCCTTGTCTCTGGTTCACCCCGGGATGATAGACGTTAACTTCTGTTTGATTAAATAAGATGCAGAGCTGATTACTACCCACCATTTCTTCCTTTTCTGCCATACCAATAACCTGCTTTTTGCAAAGATGATACACCTTGTAGTTATATGCCTCTTCCTTCCACCTCATGACCTCTCTCTGCCATTTTGCAATTATGTAGTTGCTCAGCACATAGCATATTAGAAGCAGGAAATTTGCAAAAGCCAGGTTTACTAATAACATGAAGGAATGGCAGCTGAAACATTGAGATAAAAACAATAATAGCAAACAAAAAATTTAAAAGTATTGCCATTTCGCCCAGTATACAATAGAGACAAATGTTCCTACATGCATCAATAACCTTGAGCATCCCTATATTCGTAACATGGGGTAATAAGCAATGGCCATAATGATGAAGGATTGGAATCAGAAAGGTTAAAACCAGCTACGGAAGGATTTAGAGATGCAGCTACATTGAGAATGGTTGGAAGGACAGAGACTCGAAAAGAGCTGGCCTCCCTTCCACACACTGCGGCCGTGGTACATTTACACCATGGAATGCCACTCAGCAGTTAAACAGAAGGAAACCTTACCCTCTGCAACTGCATGGATGGACCCGGGGAGCAGTATGCTAAGTGAAATAAGCCACTCAGAGACAGACAAGTGCCATGTATCACTGATACATGGAATCTAGTGAACAAAATAAACTGATGAACAAAATAAAACTGGAGGCATGGACACATGGAACAGCCTGACAGACCTCAGACGGGAGGCGAGTGGGAAATCAATCTGGGAAATGCCATTTGGGATCAATGATCAAATAAAATGGTTTCTTTTTAATGCTTACTTAATAAATTATCTCTGGCTGCAATTCGAAAAAGGCAGTTTTATTAGTGTTTTGAGAATTAATAACATAATCAGAATAAATATAGAGCTTTCTTGAGGGATTGCTTTGAAACAGCCCACTCACCCAGATGTGTATATGTTTTGCTGTGTTTTTGTAAAAAATTGAGTATGATTCTAATCTTTCCTTCTGTTGTAAGTGTTGAATGAGAAGGATAATTTCTTTAAGTTTTCAGAGAACAGGGGCATCACTGAACTACCTCTTTCTCCTCTTCTTCCCCCTTTTTTCCTCTCACATCCTTGCCCTTTTCTTTGCTTTCTGTATTTAGTCTCCCTAAAAGCAGGCATGATATTACTTAGTCATTTGGTGGCACTAAGTTTATTGACAAGACATCTGTCACATAAAAAAATTAAAATATACTTATGGAACAGTAACTTATCATATTACCATAGGATTATTCCTAGACATAGGATTGTCATTTTCCTTTGCCCTAGGCTACCACTTTCAGATTTTCTTTTTTTGTCTGCCTTGTCCTCAGTTGTATCTTCACAGTTTGGCAAATGTATCCACTCAAAGGACTTGGCTTTGGGTACTTCGGTCAGCCAATAATTATTTGTTGAGCATTTACTATATGCCAGGTGTATATATCCTGGGGATACAACGGTGAATCTGAACCTTCCTGTTCTCACGAAGCTTACATTCTAATGGGAGAAACAAACAGTGAAAAGTAGAGAACTAACTAGAATACTACAGATTGTGGTAATAGATAAGTAAAGAGGTTTTGTAGATAGAGACGGCTAGAAGCGGTGGAAAGGGTGTTCATAAAAGTGACTTCAGAGATGATACATCGAGGGAGCAAGTGCAAGTTTCCAAACTGAAAGGGAAGGGCTTTACTAGCCAAGAACCGGCGTGGCGAGTTCTCGGAAATGACAGTGTGACTGGAGGGCTAGCAAGTGTGAATGAGGCCGGCAAGGGTAACGTCACGCAGGCTTTGCTCTCCACGTTGCTGCTGCAAAACTTTATCTTCCTCTGGCTGCAGGAGCTACCCGTTATCCTGCCGCTTTCCTGTCTCTGTTTTGGATCTTTGCCCCTCCCCACTGCGATCCTCTGACAGTGGACATTCCTTACAGTTCATGCACGAATTTGGCTTTTCTCTCTTTACTTTCTTTCCTTCAGTAAACTTTATTTCCTTCAGTCTGCTGAGCAAGCACCAATGGAACCTTAAAAAGCAAGGTGGCCCTAAGCAGTTGGAGAGTGAAAGTCCCTCCAAAAGCAGGAGCTGGGCTTAAGAAAATCTTTTAAAATAAAGACGCAGAGATGCTTGTTTGGTAGGACTGGGCAGTGCTCAGAAATCTGCTGCACAGCAAGGTCCCGAACCATGGCTGTGGAAGGGCCGCAACCAGCCGGGCTGCCAGATATGCTCACCAAAGGCCAGAGCCCAACTTGCTCACAGAGACAGCATATGCATCCCTAAGTGCAGCCAGCCCCTCTGCACACTGCCCCGCCCCCCACCCCTCCCAGCAGCAGAGCCCTTTTGCTGAAGTTCCATTGGGACCACAGTGAAAAAACATACAACTTAGAAGCTATATAGTTTCAGAAGATGAGAAAAAGATGTAAAAAGCCAGAACTAATCCTGGGGGTGGAGCCGGGGGGAAACTGGCAGAACTTCTGAATTTGGAGCCAGAAAGGAGTTAGTAACTGGGGAATAATCCACGTATTAGTGCAAATCTATTAATGGTGCATTGCTTTCTCCCTCACACTCAGCTGAGGAAGCTGGATTAGAAGAAGCTCCATGGGGGAGGAAGAGAAGTCGGTCCTTTGAAACTGGGGATGCTGGGGGCAAAGAAGGTCTGTGGCCAGCGTGGTCACAGACACGTTGAGGCTGGGGGAAGGGGTCTGCTTTGTGGACAGGAGGAATGCAGCAAGATGCAGAGGACAGTGCCAGAGGAAAGCTTGGCTGTTTTTAAAATCCTGTGTAAAAAGAGTCCACGTATCTCATTTTTCTGGGCTACGAGGGCTCTCCGACCAGAGCCAGAACTCTGCTCAGACCTTGAATTCATGATACCACTTTGTGGATTTAATAGAGTTCTGTGGGCTGGCCTGTGGGCCTAATTCCATTTTTATGGAAAATTATTTTGATGGTAAAATATGTTCTGAGTCCCCTACAACCAACTTACAAATGGATTTTATAAGGCCACATGTGTTTGAGCTTGGAGACTGCCCACATATAACACTCAGAGAAATTCATGCATGCACTAACACGTAGCCTGCAGCCACACTGCGGACCACACCGCAGTTTTATAACAGCTCTCGTGCCCTGCGCGTTCCCAAGAACTGTTACTTGCCCTATCTTGGCACTTTCCAAGAGGAAATATAGATAAGTACTTGCTGTGATTTACTTGTCAATAACATGATAAGATTTACTTGTCAATAACATGATAACACTTGAAGAGCATTTTTGAAGGAAAAGCTTAGTCGAAACCAAAGTTAGGCGCAAGTTGCTTATGTTAAATTATTTTGTAAATAAATAATATATGGCTGTATCTCTCTGTCTATCCTGATATTTCTCTATCTTAAATGAAGTTGTCTTAATTGTTCCCATCACTGCAAAGATGTATCTTTCAGGCTTTAGGGAAGGATTTTATTTTTCCTCCCCCACACACATAATATTAACTTCTTTTTTAATTCCCTGGTCCTCTCCTCTCTTTATTTTTGTCATTTATTTTAATTGGAAGCTATAAACCCTCACCTTAGAAAATATACACAACATCTAGCAAATTATTTCAAGAAGTTCAGGGAGTTTTCTGTTTTCCTGTGTGTGACATGGCCCAATAAGTAAACGGGCCTGTGTCCTCATGTTCTCTCTCCTCCCTCCCTCTCTCCTTCTCTCCTGGCCCTTCTCCTTCTCCCTCTCAGGCCCTCTTCCACACAATACACGAGTTTCACAGTGTGGAGAGCCCTCTCAGCGCTGGTGCAGACAGGGTCTTCACACCGCCCTGGGGCGGATGCCTGTGTC